ATTTTTGAAGTACTTCCAACTTTGAAGTGTGCTGTCAATATTCCAATTCCAAGTGATGTGCTTCTGCTGTGCTGGCTGGAACTGGGCTTGGAATTTATTCACCACTCGCATTCCGTTCGGGCTGAAATGTCCCCCCACCCACGGGATTGGATTGCACTTTCCCAAGTCGCGGACCCCGAGTTTGCGACGCGGGGTTTCGGGAATTTTTCAAGGGCGTCGACATTGTCGGTGGAGATCGACGGCTGTTGTTCCTTCTAGTGCTGAATGTAAACTGCGGCGACAAGGATGGATTTCGTGACGTGGCTGCGAAGACGAGTCAGCTCCGAGCGAAGACTGGCAATCGGTGATCGGTCGTTTCGGCTGGTGTTGACGGGTCTATTCTCCGGAAGTCAACGAGCCGTTCGTTCCTAGATTCTTGTACACCGCATGAGATTTTAGGCTCAATTCTAGCATCATAACGAATTGTGTTGCATTGCGCTGGATGCACCAAAATACACTCCAGATAAAAGAGCCGCTAATAGCGGAGATTCCAATCTTCGCTGAAATTGTGGAAGTATTTCTGGCACTGTCAGCTGACATGGCACTGGCAGTATTTCTGGCACTGCCAGCTGAAACCCAGGAGTCTGCTGACGTTCAATTCCTCGTTATAGTGACCAAGACTCGCTTGGAATGCGGGTCGCCAATCTGTCATCTTGTTCTCCTGGCAATGCGAATTTTAGGAGTTGCTTTCCGCGCGAGACTTTTCCGCGCAAGCAATCTCCGCGCGAGCACTTTCCTGCATCCGTCGTGCGCCCTCCCCAATATCCTTCCGCATCTGGCGCGAGCCGGCGCGTTTCGGCTTCTGTCGCAGGGATGGCGACGGGTAAGGCGGAGGATACCGTCGCAAGGCAGTCGCACAGCAGACCTGTGCGACAGGCTGGACGTTTTCTGACTCAACAGGAGCTGCTTCGCTTCCCACATAAGTGAGTCCACTGAATTCGAGTCAACGGAACGTGCACCAAATGCGGAATCTAACCAGCAATTTTTTGTGTGCATTGACAAATCTGCTAACTGCTACTCAAGCCGCGGTCTCGCTGTACCCCTGTTTTCTCCCCAACACCTTCTTCTGCTCCGCCTTCTACTTCCGCCTTCTACTTCCGCCTTCTACTTCCGCCTTCTACTTCCGCCTTCTCTCCCCTTCTCCCCCACCCACGCCCTCCCCTCCCCCTTCGCCCCCTCTCCCTCCCCCCCCCCCCCCCCCGCGCGCCAGGCTCATTCGAGACATCGCCTTTGTCGTCTTCTGCCCGCCGCTGCTGCTCTCATCCGACCACGTACGCCCTTGCCCTTGCACCACCACGTGGCCCCCTTGCACTTACATGCATCCCCCACGTGGCCACCCTCCCTCCCTCTCTCCTCTCCCTCGTCAGCTGCTCTCATCCAACCAAGTACGCCTTTGCCTTTGCACCACCACGCTCTCCTCTCTCCCGCTTGCTGCTCTTCCCCCTCCGCCCCCACTCATTCCCCCCTGTTCGTGGCAACTACCAGTGGTGGACTCACACGCTTTCGCCCACAACCCTTTCTCTCTCATTCGCCCCTGTTTCCCCCAGTTACCAGTGGTGGACCCACACGTCTTTGCCAACAGTTGTTCCCTCCTCATGCCTACCATTCTCCCCAACCCAACCTCGCCCGGTCACCATCCTCAGTACACTAATTCACAAAACCCATGTGACTATAACGACCAGTCGGGTGTCAGTCTGTGTGATAGTATCGAGATGGACGGTCGAGATGCGCTGCTGGCTTGGCTGGAATCACTGGATGCAGGACACGTGGCAGCATGGTTCAGGGAGAAGAAGCAGAGCGCTCGATTGGGCGATCACTATGCCCTCTGCATCCTCTTCGTGCTCACGTTCGGGCCGAACCTGAAGCCTCGGGATCTCCGAACGTCCGTCCAGGTCCACGTTTCAGAGGCTCGGGGAAAGCCTACTCGTCTCATCTTCCCCGAACCAGGCTCAGCTACTGACAGCAGCCTGTCCGAACCTCTGCCCGAACCTGAACCCTCCACACTCAACATGACAGATTCAAGGTCGGCAGAACCAGGTCCAGACGAGACAAAGTTACCGAACCTAGAGGGCCTTGGTGTGCCGAGCCTGGAGCTGGCTCCGGCTCGGCCGGAGCTGGAGTTTCCGGAGCTGAGGCAGATGGGCAGGCGGGCTCGAAAGCGATTCTTGCGAGAGGCGAGGGACAGAAAAGGACGAATCCAGACGGTGGGGGAGTTTGACATTCTGTTTACACTGCCACCCCAATTTCTCCCTCCTCACTCCCCCTCTCCTCCTCACTCAGTCTTTCCTCCACCTCTCCTCCCGTCTCCGTGTTCTCGTTCTCCTGATCTATCGTTCGAGAGGGTGGGGGAGCTCGATGCGACTGCTTGTGCTGACGGCTGCAGCGGGGATTCATCCGCTGTTGTGGCTGTTGATAGTGGTGGTGCGAATGCTGCTCTTGCTGATAGTATCAGCATTCAGGCTGCTCTTAATACTAGTAATTCCGTTCAGTCTTCTGCTGCTGATGCTGGGAAGGCGTCTACTGTTGCTGATGCTGAGTTGGCTTCAAATTCTGCTGATGCTGACGTGGCATCCACTGCTGCCAGTGCTGGTATGGATGCAGCTATGGCTGCAGCACCCGCCCCTGTGCTTCACCACTGGGAACTCTCAGTGAAGTTTCTCCTCTTTGTGGGCTCGTGGGATGATGCTCTCGCCATCTTCTCCCGCCGTTTCCCTCCCACTCATGCCGGCTGTAGCAATAACAGCTGTAGCAACAGTTGCAGCAGCAGCAGCAGCAGCAGCAGCAGCAGCAGCAGCAGCAGCAGCAGCAGCAGCAGCAGCAGCAGCAGCAGCAGCAGCAGCAGCAGCAGTAATGACAACAGCAGAACCACCAGTGGCAGCCGTAGTGTAGAAGAAGCTTCACCTGGAAAATCACCTGAGCCTGACTGGCTGCTGGGGCAGTACCTGGGTCCCCACGTGGGGGAGTCCCTTCGCGACCGCAAGGCCCGGCTAAGCCGCCAGCTGCTGCTGGGGAGGCAGGGGCATGGCGCCCAACTTATAACGAGGATGTATGGTGGTACAGTGGAGAAGGATGGTGGCGGGTCAGAAGGACCGGGGCCCCAATCCTGGCCCAATCCTGGACAGGATAGGCTTGGAATCTTGCGGAATGGCGAAGGAATCAAGGCCTGTGAGGTGTCTCAGAAGGAGAGGAGCGAAGCAGGAACTGATGCAGAGAGACTGGCTTGTGGTGAGGAGGAGGAGGAGGAGGAGAGTGGAGGGAAGGTATCCTTGTTACCAGCAGCTGCACTGTTACAGGGGTACCTGTTCTATGAGTACCCGCTGTGGGTGAAAATGAGGGAGATGGAGGAGGGCCGGGGAGGGAGGATTAGCAAGGGTGAGATGGCACTGACCTCAGCCGAGAGTGCATTGACCCCATTGACTGGATTGACCAGCGATGGGACTAGTCTAGAGAGTAGCACAGCAGCAGAGGCAGCAGCGGCAGCAGAAGGAACAGCAGCAGGCACAGCAGTCGAAGCAGCAGCAGGCACAGCAGCAGCGGCAAGCAGTGGTGTGTTCCCATGGCACTGGTATGGTTGGTGGACACATGATGCAGCAGCGGTGGTTTACCACCCGAGACATGCCCATTCCCGCTGGTACATCCTCCCCAAGGCAGAGTGGCTCTCTCCTATAATTGTCCCGGATATTGCCTCCCCCACGCATAAACCACAGCCAGTTACCACCTCCCCTGGTCCCCACCTGGATGGTATCTGCCCTGAGTCTGTTGCTGACGCTGGTGCCACCTGTCTGGATGCCGAATTAGGTGATTCATTCGCAGCACGGCCCGATGGGATTGCAACGCCATTGATGGGAAACGATTTGCTTGAAACGATTCGCAGGTGTTCTGAGGATGCGCGGTTGAGGAAACTTCCCAGGAAGCTCCGATTTCTTGTTGCTGAACTCCGGTGGGACGCGGAATACTTGATATTGGACAATGTACTCTTATTTCATACTTCTGGTGATGATGCATGTGAGGGGTTAGGGCCTATTGGTAGTGAGGAGAAAGGAGCTTGGGTTGAAGTTAGCAGAGGATTTATTGTGGAGGAGGGTTGGCCTGACAGTCGAAGCCATCCTCCACATGGCTTTGTTTGGAGAGAAGGACACGCCACTCCCTTTTGGTGATGTGTTACGTTGTATGAAATTAAAAGTGATTATCGTTTTGTTATTTCAAACCGGCCTAGGAGCTGCCATAAGCGCGTATTCTGCTCTGGGCACGCGAGGAAGGGGCAAGCCACGACAATATCAACGACAGCTGTGTGACCTCCGTGTTGCCCAATCAGGAAAATGATTCTCCGTGGTTTGGTCAAGCCACGTGGCTCACACACCTAACCAGCCCATGTGGTTCACGAATCCCGAACCAGACAAAGGTCTCTGAGGTCGGCGCCGCGTTCTTCAGGAATAGAGCTCTGCCACCGCTGGATTGCGTATGGCACGCGAAAGTGCTGCTGTTCAAATGTCGCCAGCCTTCTTGTGCCAGAAAACTATTGGCTGTTTATCGTTCGCGAAAGTTTCTCGTAACTCACGAATTCTTTCGTACACTACAATTCCAGTTGCAACATTTCAGCGCACCTAGTCCTTCAAGCCCTGGGCGCCGCCGCTTTACAGTAGCAAGGGGAATCTAACCCCAGATGCGCCCTGAACTACCGAGTCGCTGCTGACTGTGTCTGCTTGCCCCCCACAAGCCCCACTTTTCACCAATCAAAATCACGGATGAGTCTGCCCAGCCCCCATCCCGACACGCCTCTGTTGCAAACAACATGGTGCGCCAAGGACCCAGCACATCACTTCACCCCCATCTCCCCCATCCCGCCTCCCCCATTCTTCATTATTCCCCGCCGAACATTCTTCCTAGCGTGGCACGGCACGGCACCTGTTTTGGTCCCCCCGCCCGCAAGATTGCGGGACGATTCCGCTCCTCTCCGCGAATCATTTCTCGCGAATCACCCCGCCGCCCTCTCCCCGCGGCGCGCCCCAACCGCCCCCCTCCGACAAGCCGAATTTGTCAATCTCCCTGAACCGAAATTCTGTTGGTGCCCCTTCGTCTCTGTGACAGACAGCATGTTTGTTTGCTGCACTCGCACCCCACAAAACCACGAGGAGTTCCCCATACAAGAAGCACCCCATAATTCCATTTCCTCCCAGCAAACTCCTGAAGAAGTTGGGATTCCTTGCCCCAGTTTGCAGGATAACCCATTCTTCCTGCCCCTCCTCCCGGAGCGCGCATAGCGTTTTCGGTGCAGCCGACTTCCCTCCATCCATTTCGACGTCCATTCGTTCCGCCGCCAAACAACCCACTCTCCACATGGCCGCCACGTCAGCCAGCGCCGCGTGCGCGGGCCACGCAAACCTCCGCGCAACAAGGGCCGCGCTTCCGATGGTGCTCGCGCTGCTTCTCGTCCACTCCCACACCGCGCTCGCCGCCAAAAACGCTCCGCCTCCGCCTCCGCCTCCGTCGGCGGCGCTCTCGTTCTTCTTCCCGTTCCTCAGCCAGGGCTCCATCACCCGCGGAAACCTCCACTTCGCCAGCCCGCCTCCGCCTTCGCCTCCGCCGCCGTCCCCGTCTCCGTCTCCGCCTCCGCCGTCTCCGCCTCCGCCTTCCCCGCCCCCGCCGCCCGCGCAGCATGACAGCGCCGCCAAGTGCGGCCCATCGTCGCTCGCAGCCAGCGGGTTTACCTCGTCGAAGGTCCTCGCGCCAGGGTATGTTCTGATTCGCGTTTACTCGATATTTTTGGCGTCTCAAAACTCGCGTCAGCATACATTCGGGGATGCATTTTCTCGCGCCTCGCATGTCTCGACGTATTCTGAAACGCGCTAGTGGGGGTTTTTTAAACGAAGGTGATATTGAGTCGACTAGAAAATTACCTCTAGTACGCGACAGTGATGGTTCCTTAACGAGTACACCGAAATATGCAAGAAATGTCTTAGATGTTTCAATAAGATCCGTCGCCTCGGCGGAGGAAATACCACATGATGTGACGTGACGCCCACTCTTTCTTCGTAGCATTTGGCAAATACTTATCTCCTAATCTCCGCTCTCTCCTCTCCCTCCCGCCCCTCCCCTTTCTTCCGTCTTCTCCCCACCCCCTTTCTTTGCGCAGACTCGTCTACCATTGGCGCGCTTCGTCAGGCTCGGTGGTTCAAATGGCCCTCGAGGCCGATCCGACCCGAGCCAAGAGCTGGTTCGGCGTCGGCTGGACCGCCGTCGAGAACGGCGTCAAAACCGACGCGGTTTTCGCGAACGTCGCGAACGGCGAAGTGAAGGCGTTCACGACGCTGAGCGTCACCGCGCCGCAGATGCAGGGCGGCGAGACGCGCATGACCATTCTGGCGCAAACGAGCACGCTCAACATCGGGAGCGCCGGATCCGTCGGGTTTGGCGACAGCACCATCGCATTGTGAGTTCATCGCGCCGCGTGACTTTAAGTCGACTCAATGGTCCCAGCGTCGGGAGCGCCGGGTCTGTGGGCTTCGGCGACAGCACCATCGCATTGTTAGGTTAGGTTCCTCGGGAACAGGCGCAACCGCATGGCGCCGCCGCGCGGGTGACATCGGGAGCGCCGGGCCTGTGGGCTTCGGCGACAGCACCATCGCATTGTTCACCACGCGTCGAAGGTTCACCACGCGTCGCTAGCTATCTGCGAAACGGCATCGTTCGAAGTCCTCATTTCGCCGTTTCGCCAATGTTCCAGTTTCGCCATTTCGCCCACATCGCCATTTTTTAAAAGTGTACGTTCTATGGCAGCTCCCTGCTCTTTTCCCGTGCGATCTCTGACGTCGAATCTCGCGCCTCGGTGCATCTGTGCTTCTCTCTGTTTGTTTTCGCTTTCTCAGGTTTAGCCGAACCGAGGGGACAGGCTCGGTGACGTTCCAGTCGTCCGGACCTATGAACTTGGTTTGGTTCTACCCGAGCCGGGACGGGCAGCCAATGGGGAGCAACCCCACGCCAGCGTAAGCAGAACGGGGGAGGGGAGAACGGGGGTTGGTGGAAGGGCGGAACGGGACGGAGGCGGGAGAGGGGGGGGGGCAGGGGAGGGGACGTGTTAGAATGGGGACGAGAAGCGGAGTGAAATTGGGGAAGGGGGAAATCGCGGGGGGAAATCGCGGGGGAATTCGCGGGTGAACGCCACCGTCATGGCGCCCGCGCCCTCGCATTCTGCATGTTTTCCCATTCCCCCTTACACCCCCATCCCCTTCCCAGTGGGTCCGCTCTAGTGGACTACTCCTGCAACGGCCTCATGACGGGGGACAGCACCGTTATTGCGCCCGCGCCCTGAACCCCCACATTCTCCCCCCCTTCCCCTCTCTGTGTGCGTGCGCTCCCTCCCCCCAGTGGCTCCGCCCTAGTAGACTACTCCTGCAATGGGCTCATGACGGGGGACGCTACTGTTATGGCGCCCGCGCCCACACATTCAGTGACTCCCCCCAACCTTTCTCCCCGCCCCCCCCCCCCCCCCCCCCCTCCGCCTCCCCCCAGTGGCTCCGCGCAGGTGGACTACTCCTGCAACGGCCTCATGACGGGGGACGCCACCGTCATGGCGCCCGCGCCCGCCCCCTCCACCGACTCCCCCTCCCCCCCGCCTCCCCCCGCGTCCACCACGCCCTCTCCCCCGCCCCCCTCTGGCGGCGGCACTCCCCCCTCCAAGGGCGTGCTGTGCCCCGCGTCCACGTTCTCAGGATACGAGTACCAGCTACCGCTGGGCAGTGACAAGTGAGTGGGGGGTGGTTGTGTGTAGGTGTGTGTGGGAGTGACTCCCATCCCCCCGCCCCCTCTCCTTCCCCCGCCCCCTCTCCTTCCCCCCTGGCTCCTCCTCTCCGCCCACCAAGGGCGTGCTGTGCCCCGCGTCCACGTTCTCGGGATACGAGTACCAGCTACCGCTGGGCAGCGGCAAGTGATTGTGGTGTGTGTGTGGCTTGGGGAGAGAATGTGTGAGTGTGTGTGGGTGGGGCCTGTAGTTCTTTCCTCCTTCCCTCATGTCCCCCCTGCTCTCCACCCCTCTCCACCCCTCTCTACCCTCTCCAACCTTTTTACACTTCTTCACACCTCTTCACCCCTCTTCATCCCTCTCCACCCCTCACCATTCCTCTTCACCCCTCTCCATTCCTCTTCACCCCTCTCCACCCCTCTCCACCCTCTCCACCCTTTTCACCCTTCTTCACCCCTCTTCACGCCTCTCAAACCCTCTCCATCCCTCTCCATCCCTCCCCATTCCTCTTCACCCCCTCTCCACCCCTCTCCACACCTCTCCACACCTCTCCACCCCACTCCACCGCTCTCCAACCAATTTCACCTCTCTGCACCCCCAGCTACGTGTTGCACTGGAAGTTCTCCTCCAACACAATCATCAAGGACGCGTGGATGACTTAAATCCCCTTTCCACCCCTCTCCACCCCTCTCTACCCCTCTCCACTCCTCTCCACCCCTCCCCACCCCCCTCCACCGCACTCCACCTCCAGCTACCTCCTCCACTGGAAGTTTGCCTCCAACACGGTCATCGATTTCCTCATCGAAGCCCGCTCCAACACCATCATCAAGGACGCGTGGATGACTTTAGTCCCCTTGCCACCCCTCTCTACCCCGCTCCACTCCACTCCACCCCTCTCCACCTGCTTCCACCCCTCTCCACCCTCCAGCTACCTGCTCCACTGGAATTTTGCCTCCAACACGGTCATCGATTTCCTCATCGAAGCCCGATCCAACACCATCATCAAGGACGCGTGGATGGCTCAAAAGCACCCTTTTCACCCCTCTCCACCCCTCTCTATTCTGCTCTACTCCACACCACCCCTCTCCACCACCTTCCACCCCTCTCCACCTCTCCAGCTACCTCCTCCACTGGAAGTTTGCCTCCAACACGGTCATTGATTTCCTCATCGAAGCCCGCTCTAACACAATCATCAAGGACGCGTGGATGGCCGTCGGATGGTCGTCCAAAAAGGGCAAGATGAAGGGCTCAGATGCAGTCATCGGGAACCTCCCCGGCGTGGGTGCGTTCTACATGAACGGCTACCGTTTAAGAAACATCCAGCAGACGACTGCATTCTCCCTCGGGACCACGGCGGTATCAACCACGAGTGAGGGCGGGACTTCAATCACGTTTAGTCGCACGGTCGGCACGGGGAACGTGCCTCTGAAGCTCAACACCACGAGCTATCTTATCTGGGCGTTTGCGCAGACGGTCTCCAAGACGCTCTATTACCACGGCATGAACCAGTAAGTGGGTGCTGGGGGTGGGCGTGGGTGCTGGGGGTGGGTGTGGGTGCGTTCTACATGAGCGTGGGCACGGGGAACGTGCCTCTGAAGCTCAACACCACGAGCTATCTTATCTGGGCGTTTGCTCAGACGGTGTCCAAGACACTCTATTTCCACGGCATGAACCAGTGAGTATGGGGATATCATCCGGACATTTGCGCAGACCGTCTCCAAGACGCTCTATTTTCACGGCATGAACCAGTAAGTCTTGCTCGGGTCCCGAGGATGCTTGGGGTGCTTGGGTTGCTGGGGGTGTCTCTGAAGCTCAACACCACCAGCTACCTCATCTGGGCGTTTGCGCAGACAGTGTCCAAGACGCTCTATTTCCACGGCATGAACCAGTAAGTGATGGGTGCGGTGGGGAGTGAGTGATGGGGGATTTGCAAGTGCTGGGAATGGGAGAGGTGGGGTTGATGGGAGTGCTGTGTTCTCCTGAAAACTGTTGTCCCATACAGTGTCCCACTCGCTCTACTCCTCCATTTGTGTAAAAGGTGAATTTCTGAGACGTCTCAATAATTCACTTTTTACACATGGGTGATGGGAGTGCTGTGTTCTCCTGAAAACCATTTTCCCAGACTGTGCCCCACTCGCTCTACTTCTGAAGAGTGTTTCCCCATTCCTGACCCCTGTTCCTGCCCCCTACCTCGCCTGTCTCTTCTCCCTCCCAAAACCCTCTTCCTACCCTACCCCCCCACCACAGGGGCGGCTACGCGGTGGACTTTGCATGCTATCAGGTGCCTCAGCCCCTGTGGGGAGGTGGGCCCGACTACAGTGATGACTCCGATGCTGACAAGGACTACTCGAGCCCCTGGCAGGGCGCCAGTCTCCCCACCGACGCTGCTGCTGACGGTGCTGCTGGTGGCCTTACTGCAACGCTTGTTGACCAGGGTCAACCCAGTGGAGCTGCTGGTGCTGCCAGTGCCGGCGCTGCTGGTGTTGATGCTGGTGGTGCTGGGAATAGGAGGTCGGGAGTGAGGTTCTATGATGGAGCAGCGGGGCAGACGAACTCTTGGCGAGTGGTGGCAGGAGAGGAGTCCTTGAGAGGTTGGGACGGTTTGGGCTGGGCAGGGACTGGGGGGGGGGGGGGGGGGGGGGTGGTGGGGGGGGGAATTGTAGGATGGGTCGTGGGCTGTTAAGGCATTTCTTGTGCTTTGCTGATGGTTGTGGTATCAGTTACCTGGTGAACATTCATATATAATACACATATAACATCAGCCTGTCCTTATTCTGGCTGGCGTTGTAGCAATTTGACATGTCGACACCTTTACCTAATTAGTGTACCGCTCCTAATGTATACGGTTGTTTATATTGCGTGTAAATCATTTGTATGCAGATGAACTCCACTTTGTATGTTAGCGGTACACATAACCATGATCAGTCGTTAAAGTCCAGCTGGCAAGCCGGGTACACACGGTTTGTGCTTGGGCGAAGTGAAGCTGGTTCGGCTGTGTGATATGATTGGGTGGTGTGGGGTCTCTGCGAGCGGGCGCTGCGTGGAACTGGTGTGGACTACGGATGAGTTTCGCGAGCTCGACATGTGTCCAGTGTGTGTACGAAGTCTATCGCCAGGGTGTTTCGGTCGCAGAAAAATGCGAGGCGACTCACAGGGCGGCCGTGACGCCCCCTCCTAACCGCCTCCAAACCTCTGGTAGCCAATCAGAGACAGTCCATTGCCCCTCCCTATCTTCGTACCAGCTTGGGGCGTCACCTGGGGAGGGGCCAAATCACGAGCAAAACTCATCGCCGAACTTCGGATTTCTCTGGCGTTGAATATTCATCCCGAGCCTTGAACTACCGAAGCTACACTTTTACAGCTATAATGTATTGATCGCCGACCACGTCAAGACAAGAATCCAATCTGTAACGTTTTACTGTAGTCCTAGCCTAGACCTTACGTATGTCATTTACTGCTTTTCCCCGCCGCCCCAAACCTGCCGACACTTCTCCCAGTCAGCAAGTTCTCGGCTCGGCTCAATATGCGCCTCCATTTCAGGCCAGTTCCCGAATCGCGTTTCTTTGATTCCGAACCTACGGGGTTCTGTTTCTGCTGTTGCAAATTCCTCAACCCCCTTGCTTGCTCCTCTTCAAGCAAGGCACGGCACCAGAAGATTTCATTTCCAAATTAGTCCTTGACTGCTTCGTCAAGGATTTGGTGTGTGTGGTCCCCACTCCGAGTGGTCCACCCCACTATCCCGAGGTGGTCCCTCAGCTTGTCCACTGCTTCGTTGCTCCGTTCGCCGAATTCCTTCCAGTCAATTGCTCCCCTTCGCCGTGCACGCACGCACACCGCGACTCACGGAAAAGATCGTCCGAACTGGGTGGTGTTTCCAGCGAGTCGCTGGCAAAGTGTCGCAGATTCGTCTCCTCGTCACGGGGCTGATACCGCCTAGCCAAACCCAACAGAGCCGTTGTTTTTCCGCCATATCCATTCGCCCTCCACCATACCGTTTCGCCCAGCATCCCCGCTTCCAGCCCCATTTTCGCCCTCCCATGCAAATACACCACCACTGAGGCCTGCACCACACTGACGCCAGCACCACCACCGACGCCTCCCGATTCAAACCACATTTGTCCGCACCATGGCCAATCATCTTCTCGCGCTGCAGCTCACGCTGCTCGTTACAGTCACAATCTACGCATCCTCCGCCGCCGCCGCCGCGCCCGCCCCTCCACCGCCCGCCGTTTCGTCCTTTTTCCCCTTCTCCATCTCCGTAGGGTCAATTGAAGGAGGAAAGCTCTTTTTTGGCGGCACGGAAACGTTGAAGCCTGCGGCGGCGCCGGCGCCGCGGGCGCAGGGGAGGCGGCACAAGTCGGGAGCGCCGAGGGTGGCGGCGACGTGCAGCCCTTCGAGCGTCAGCGGCTTCACGTCGTCGAAAACGCTGACAGCGGGGTACGTTTGTACTGCCGCCTGTGAGAATTCTCAAAGGCGCTTTGATTCTCCGCGGCTTCACGTCGTCGAAAACGCTGACAGCGGGGTACGTTTGTACTGCCGCCTGTGAGAATTCGATTTTTGAGTTGACTCAAAAATCGACTAACGCTGACAGCGGGGTACGTTTTTTGCCGCCTGTGAGGATTCTCAAAGGCGCATCGAGCCTCCGGGGGTTCTCGTCGTCGAAAACACTGAAAGCGGGATATTGTGCGTCATTTTTGAGTCGACGCAAAATCGGAATCCTTAAAATGGCAAAATCGGACAGTCGAAAATGGCAAAATCGAACAGTCGAAAATCGGATCCAGTCATTCAGCCCCCCCCGCTCCGCCTCCCCTCCTCCGCCAGCCTGGTGCTGCACTGGAAGGCCACCACGGGCACCACCGTCGACATGGAGCTGCAGGCATTAACGTTGTTTCCCTCCTGCCACCCCCTTTTCCCCTTTCTCCCCTCCTTTCCCGCTTCTTCTTGCCACGTCCCGCCAGCCTGGTGCTGCACTGGAAAGCCACCACGGGGACCACCGTCGACATGGAGCTGCACGCCACGTCATCAGGCGCCTCGGGCGGGTGGTTCGCAGTGGGGTGGTCGACGAGCGGGACAATGTACCCCGCGGATTGCGTGATTGCGCACGCGGCGGGGGCGGACATCGGCGCGTACACTATGGCGAGCTACGCCGGCGCCACAACCACGACCGCGTTCTCCCTCGGCTCGCCCACTTACTCTGCTGGCATTGCCACGTACGTTCGCCTTTTCCCTGTCACTGCGTCATAGGAAAGCATGCATACAAGGCGGTGGTGCCCATCGGCGCGTACACCATATCGAGTTACGACAACTCCGGCATCACAACCACGACCGCGTTCTCCCTCGGCTCGCAACACTTACTCTGCCGGTGTTGCCGCGTACGTTCCTCGCCCTATTGCCCCCCCCTATACTTTTTTCACTCTCACTGCGTCATACCGCATTAGGCGGGGGCGCCCATAGGCGCGTACACTATTTCGAGTTACGACACAGCTCCGGTATCACAACCGCGACAGCTCCGGTATCACAACCGCGACAGCTCCGGTATCACAACCGCGACAGCTCCGGTATCACAACCGCGACAGCTCCGGTATCACAACCGCGACAGCTCCGGTATCACAACCGCAACAGCTCCGGTATCACAATCGCGACAGCTCCGGTATCACAACCGCGACAGCTCCGGTATCACAACCGCGACAGCTCCGGTATCACAACCGCGACAGCTCCGGTATCACAACCGCGACAGCTCCGGTATCACAACCGCGACAGCTCCGGTATCACAACCACGACCACTCAGCTCGGCTCGGCTCGGCTCGGCTCGGCTTGGCTCGGCTTGGCTTGGCTCGTTCCCCTTCCCCATCCTCCTTCTCCTCTCTCCTCTTCCCTCTTCCCCCCCCTCCTCGCTATCCTCCCCCCTCCTCGCTCTCCTCCCTCGTCCTCCCCTCCCCCTTCTCCCCCCCACAGCTCCTCCCACACAGCGGGAACGGACCCATGAAGACCACCTGGGCCGACAGCCAATCCACCATCCCACCTCCTCACCCTTCCCTCCTCGTTCCTCCCCACCCCACCCTACCTTTTCCCGCCAATCCTCTAACAGCTTCTCCCGCACTGCAGGAACGGGCAGCAAGGTGACCTTCGCAAACGGACCCATGAAGACCATCTGGGCCTACTCTGACGGCCCATCCACCTCCCTGGACGGTCACGAGGGCAACCGCGGCAGTGTCTCCATCGATTTCTCCTGCGATGGCAACCCCACTGCCATTTCCTCCCGTCTGCCTCACCATCTTTCCCTCCTCTTTCCTTCCCCCTTCGCTCCCCTTCCTCCGTCCTCCCCGTTCCCTTCCCACCCAGATTCTCCCGCACAGTGGGAACAGGAAGCAAGGTGAAGTTCGCCAACGGACCCATGAAGACCATCTGGGCCTACTCCGACGGCCAATCTACCTCTTCCCTCTTCACCCCCACCACCCACCCGTTTCCCCACCGTCCCCTCCGTCCCCCCAACCCCAGATTTTCCCGCACGGCAGGAACGGGAAGCAAGGTGACATTCGCCAACGGACCCATGAAGACCATCTGGGCCTACTCCGACGGCCCATCCACCTCCCTCGTCGGCCACGGGGGCAACCGCGGCAGCACCACCATCGACTTTTCCTGTGATGGCACCCCCGTTACCACGCCCTCTCCTCCTCCCCCTTCCGCCACCCCCTCCCCCCCGCCTTCCTCCGCCTCCCCGCCCCCCCCTGCCTCCTCCGCCTCCCCTCCGCCCCCCACTGCCACGCCGTCACCTCCGCCCGCGCCGCCGGCTGCGGGAGTGGCGTGCCCCGCGTCGGCTCTGGAAGGGTTTGATTATGAAGTGGAGCTTGGCGGGCCTAAGTGAGTGAGAGGAAAGGGGAGGGGGTGGGCTGTGGTTCTCGAGTGATATTTGACTGGTGTTCCTTCTTCAGACTTGGGTGTCCCCTCCCCTCCCTCCCCCTCCGCCACTCCGTCACCACCGCCCGCGCCGCCGGCTGCGGGAGTGGCGTGCCTGGCTTCTTCTCTAGAAGGGTTTGACTGACAAGTGGAGCTTGGCGGGCCGCTGTGAGTGAGAGGATGGGGAAAAGGGTGGGCTGTGATTCTCGTGTGGTGTGTATGTGAGTGAGAGGATGGGGAAAAGGGTGGGCTGTGATTCTCGTGTGGTGTGTATGTGAGTGAGAGGATGGGGAAAAGGGTGGGCTGTGATTCTCGTGTGGTGTGTATGTGAGTGCTGCTCCTTTTTCGGGCGTGGGCGTCCCCTCTTCTTGCTTCCCCTGGCGTCGCCAGCTGCGGGAGTGGCGTGCCCGGCGTCGGCTCTGGAAGGGGTTTGATTATCAAGTGGAGCTTGGCGGGCCGCTGTGAGTGAAATGAATGAGTGGGGTGTGGCGTATGCGGAAGGGAAAGGGAGGGGTTGTGTGTTTCGATTGGCGTGCCCCGCGTCGGCTCTAGAAGGGTTTGATTATCAAGTGGAAGGCTTCGGCTCTGAAAGGGTTTGACTACCAAGTGCAGCTTGGGGGGCCGCTGTGAGTATTGTGCGGCACGCATGTGTGTGTGGTTCCAGAGTAGTGAGGGAAAGGTGTGTTTCGTGAGTGGCCATCAGAGGCCCGAGGGAGTGGCGTGCCCCGCGTCGGCTCTGGAGAGGTTCGACTATGAAGTGGAACTTGGGGGGCCGCTGTGAGTGAAATGAAGGGGAGGGGGTGGGCTGTGAGTCTAGTGTGGTATGTGAGTGGTGTGGTGCCCCTACTTTAGGCTGCGGGAGTGGCGTGCCCCGCGTCGGCTCTTGAGGGGTTTGATTATGAAGTGGAGCTTGGGGGGCCTCTGTGAGTTGTATGGCAGTGGCAGGCACGTGTGGTTCCTGAATGTTTCATAAATGGACATAACACCAGAGGCCTGAGGGAGTGGCACGCCCGGCGTCGGCTCTGGAAGGGTTTGATTATCAAGTGGAGCTTGGAGGGCCGCTGAGAGTATGAATGAGTTGGGGGGGACATGGCATGTGCTGCGGCTGTGGTGTGTCCGGGCAGCTCTGGAGGGGTTTGATTATCAAGTGGAGCTTGGGGGGAGGCCATGCTCAGGGAAGGGGTGGGCTGGGAGTCTCGTGTGGTATGTGAGTGGTCTTCCCCCCATCCTTCCTCCCAACCTTCCACCCATCCTTCTCCCATCCTTCCTCCCAACCTTCCTTCCCCCTTCCTTCAACCAACCTTCCCCGATCTTCCTCCCCCATCTTCCTTCCCCACATCCTCAACCCTCCCCTCCTCTTCACAGTATGCTGCTGCACTGGACATTCAGCATCCTCAGCCCTCAAATCCGCCCTCTCCCGTTTCCCCCCATCTTCCTTCCTCATATCCCCACCCTCTCCTCTTCACAGCATGCTCCTGCACTGGACCTTCAGCAGCAGCACGACCATCAAATTCTCCATAAAAGCCCGCGGCACCACTATAACCAACCGTCCTACCCTTCTTCCCTCCTCTTAGCATGCTGCTGCAGTGAACCCTCGCCAGCAGCACCACCATCAAAAGTCTCCATAGAAGCTCGCGGCACCACTCTATCCTCAACTCTGTTTTCCCGTCTTTCCTTCCCCCATCCTCCTTCCCCACCCCCAAACCCCCCATCACAACCGCCTCTTCTCAGCATGCTGCTGCACTGGACCCTCGCTACTAGCACCATCATCAAATTCTCCATAGAAGCACGCGGCAGCACCATAGCCAAGGATGGCTGGATAGCCGTTGGATGGTCGGGTAGAAAGGGCAAGATGAAGGGCTCAGATGCGGTCATTGGGAACCTGCCTGGCGTGGTGGGGGTGCATATGAGTGGCTACAGTAAGAAGCTTGTAACGCAAACGAGTGCGTTCTCTATCGGGGATACTGCAGTCTCTACCACGTCTGAAGGCGGCACAACAATCGCGTGAGTCTGTGTAGAGTGCGTGCTGTCTCGTGTGTGCCAGTGGGAGGTGATTCACGCTGTTGCGGTGTGTTGTGTTTCTCTTTTGGGATGTTGGGATGTCATTTATCTTCAAACCTCGCCTCCCTCTTTTGACCCTGAACTCCACTCCCCTCTGCCCTCTCCACTCTCCCCTCCTCTCAGCTTCACGCGCGAGGTGGGCAAGGGAGCAGTGTCCCTAAAGCTCAATGCCACAAACTACCTCATCTATGCCCCCAGCATCAGCACTGGAGCCCACTCACAAGCCACCACCACTCCTCCCCCAGCTCTGCTCTAACCCCTTCCCCGTGTTCTCCCCCCTCTCCCTTTTGTTCAGTTTCACTCGCGAGGTGGGCAAGGGAGCAGTACCCATAAAGCTCAACGCCACCAACTACCTCATCTATGCCTTCAGCACCACAGCCTCCAAGACTCTCGCCTTCCACGGCTGGAACCAGTAAGCCCCTGTTTACCCGTAACACGGTTACCATGTAACACTGCTACCTTGAAACCCTGCTTCCATGACTGGTGAGGCATAATGTTGCCCTTCAAGCCCATGCAACCAGTTACTCCCCTACCCTTTAAAAGATACAACCCCCCCCGTCCCCGTGCGCTCCCCCGAGCAATGTGCTTCATCCTGTGCTCCAGTCTGTGCTCCTGACACAAGGCAAGAGCCGCCTTGTTGTCATCGTGCTTCAAGAAGCCCACGGCACTGTGGGGCGGCGAGCCTGATTGCAGTGATGTTGCATGCTATCAGGCCAAATCCCGTCTTCTCCCTTATATCTGCCCCCTCCCCCAACCCCCCTCATTCCGTACCAGGGGCGGCCTTGCGGTGGACTTCTCGTGCTTCAAGAAGCCCGCGGCCCTGTGGGGTGGCGGGCCGGATTACAGCGATGACTTGGATTATGATAACTCATTCAACAGTGCACGCGCTGCAAGCATGGATGGCGCTGCAGGCACCTCCTCGGCTGACGGTGACGGGGCTGTTGGCACTGGGGTCGGCATGACAAATGCTGATTGGTGGGCGCGGAGGTCAGGCTTATGGGAAACTGTTATTGGAGGTTGATTATTTGGAAGTTTTTTTCCCAGAAAAAAAAAAAAAAAGATTGTTAAGGAGCACAACGACCTTCCCAAATAACGATAGTTTATGGGAAATGATGCAAATATGCATCCCTACAAGCTTACTCTCCTATGTAAATGACAAGCGCCCACGTCATCATGTAACCTCTGTATCGAAGCTGTTATTACCAAGCAAAATGCAATTTTGTTGGGTAGTGTGTCGTGTCCCACGCCGCCTCTACGAGTCGCTTTCATTTGTAGAACACGACGACTCCTCTCGTAGGGTCACAGTGGATCGCCGCCAAATCGATGCAGGCCACACAGATACACTCTGTCTCGCACCGCCAAATCAACCTTCACAGAAGCCCCCGAATCGAATTTCCGGCTGCCCCCGAAGCAAGGATCCATCCCATACAGTATACAGTGTTTGCGATTGACCCTTGCCAATATGACATTTTGAAATGCCCGTACAGTATCCGCCACGCCCCCCACGACATTCTGCCGCCCACCAACTACCTGCCCGCCACCACCTGGCACAGTTCTGTTGGCGCCCCCATGGCAACAACCCCGATTGCAACCGTTCACCTTCCCACCTGACCGACAAAAATCTGCTTGACAGTGTACGGAACTGATACTGTACGGAACTCCACTGTCATCAGAGACTCGAGTGTAACATTGATGTAATGTACATAAAACAATACTGTAATGGCAGACTGCTTCACAACACTCAAGCAAAAGCTTTCACCGATGCCATCTTGCCACCTGCATTTCTGTTGGCGGCACCCCCAGCCGCCTCACTCCGGCAGCACCCCCAATTCCCCGCCTCTCTGAAATGTGCAGTTGCCCAGGGGCTGATTGATTCATTCTGCGTTCCCCTTTCGCGGTGAATTGATCGCTGAGGATGGGATGAAAAACTTTCTCGAATTTTCTCCCCTGCATTTGCAAACTGTACAGCGTTGACTTCATACAAGTTCTCGGCGTTAAACGTTGACTTCAAAAAAATTGGAGTTGTGTACACAACCAAAAAGTGTTGCTCCGAAATTCAGCCGGGTAGGCCGGGTATGGTGAAAACAATTCTGGACAAGTTGAACGCGGGGCACGGTTCCTGCATGGTGCACCAAGCAGCCGCGGTTTCATGCTCAGTTCCTGCAGACATTTGGCAGGGAGGAACGCAGCGTTTACGCGGCGTGACGCTCTTCGCTTCACGCTCGAGCGTCGACCAGCTTCCTCTTTGCCATTGCCTCGCTGTTTGTGTGAAGCGGTCTACTTACTAGCTTCCTCCTCGACGCTTCCACATCCATGGCCCGTCATCTCCTCACGTTGCTCGCGCTGCATTTTGCAGTCGCACATTACGCCGCCATTTCCGCCGCCGCCGCCGCACCCGCTCTGCCGCCTCCCTCCGTTCGCTCTTCATTTCGCTTCCCTACCTTCGGATCGTTACTAGAAACTGCTGGAAATTTTCTATCACGTGCTGTTGGGACGGCATGGAAATCACAGCGTGCTGGGGTCCAGGCGACGTGCAGCGCATCTAGCCGTAGCGGATTCACGTCCTCGGTAACTCTTGCACCCGGGTAAGTTCGCGGTCTCTCCCCCGACTACACTCATCATGTTTAGTAACAGCATATGATTTAAGAACAATAACAATCTAACAGCCAGAATAAGTAAGGTTTCTTATCTTTAAAGTTTGCCTGACCAAAATTTGATAAAATCGGGCTATTAATTTTTGAAACTCCTCTGAATTCAACGTATAAGGTTCTTAACTTTACGTGAATTTATACAGAGGGTGCCTATATCGAATATGTTGAAAAAGGATCCCAGCGTTACATATATGCCGAAGGTCGGGAGATCGATCCTTGCCAAGTACAGTATTGCGAAGACAGTAGAGTCGAAAACAAGGCCAAAAACCAATCAAGTCGCTCTGTGCGGCATGTTTTTACATCGGCGGCGAGCGAGCTCTATTCCTCTCGATCATCACGCGAATCTAACCACCATTTTAGTAGATAAGAGCGAAAGTTGTCTTCTCAATCAAATAAGTCGATTCCTTCTGCGGACCTATTTCATAAGTGCTCGACTGGGACTGGGTTCTCCCAGATAAGGATTTAAGGACAACTTTGAAATAGCTCACTTTGTTCTCATCTGTTCCCTCTCTCTCCCACCTATTTTTCGCCTGTAACTGTCTCAATAACATGTCATGAGGGTGTGGTACCTTCACTCGAAATATCATGCCATTCCCTAATTCGGGAATTCTAACCTTCGTTTCGTCGACCTTCCTTTGTTCTTTTGCCCACCCCTCCCCACTCCTCTCATCTCCTCCCCACCCCAACCTGGCAGGTTCATTCTCCACTGGAAGGTCACAACAGGCACGACAGTCAACATGGCACTGGAGGCCCAGACAGCAGCCATCACGGGCGGGTGGTTCGGCGTGGGTTGGTCAGCAGACGGCAAGATGTACCCCGCAGATGCCGTCATCGTCAACTCCGATACCTACGGCGCGATCGGCCCGTACAAGATGGAGCACGACTCACCGACAGCCATCATCCCCTTTGCGAATTTCCAGCTGGGTTCTGGAGCTACCTACACTAAGCCCGCTGCCATCAAGGGTGCTGCTACCACCAACACCACCAGCGCTGTCCCGTTCGCCAGCGGCGTTGCCACGTACGTATCGTCTATCATATCTGCTCTTACCTTTTGCAAATCTCCAGCTGGGTTCCGCAAGCTACTCACACCAAGCCCGCTGCCATGAAGGGTGCTACCATCAACACCACCACGTACCCTGGCGGCGCTACCACCAACACCACCAGCGCTGTCCCGTTCGCCAGCGTCGTTGCCACGTACGTATCGTCTATCATATTTGCTCTTACCCTTTGCAAATCTCCAGCTGGGTTCCGCAAGCTACTCACACCAAGCCCGCTGCCATGAAGGGTGCTACCATCAACACCACCACGTACCCTGGCGGCGCTACCACCAACACCACCAGCGCTGTCCCGTTCGCCAGCGGCGTTGCCACGTACGTATCGTCTATCATATCTGCTCTTACCCTTTGCAAATCTCCAGCTGGGTTCCGCAAGCTACTCACACCAAGCCCGCTGCCATGAAGGGTGCTACCATCAACACCACCACGTACCCTGGCGGCGCTACCACCAACACCACCAGCGCTGTCCCGTTCGCCAGCGTCGTTGCCACGTACGTATCGTCTATCATATCTGCTCTTACCCTTTGCAAATCTCCAGCTGGGTTCCGCAAGCTACTCACACCAAGCCCGCTGCCATGAAGGGTGCTACCATCAACACCACCACGTACCCTGGCGGCGCTACCACCAACACCACCAGCGCTGTCCCGTTCGCCAGCGGCGTTGCCACGTACGTATCGTCTATCATATCTGCTCTTACCCTTTGCAAATCTCCAGCTGGGTTCCGCAAGCTACTCACACCAAGCCCGCTGCCATGAAGGGTGCTACCATCAACACCACCACGTACCCTGGCGGCGCTACCACCAACACCACCAGCGCTGTCCCGTTCGCCAGCGGCGTTGCCACGTACGTACCGTCTATATGTCTGCACTTAACCTTTGCGAGTTTCCAGCTGGGTTCCGGAGCTACCTACACCAAGCCCGCTGCCATGTACCACGGCGGCGGTGCCACAAACACCACCAGTGCTGTCACGGACCCTGGCGGCGGTGTCCCGTACGCCGGCAGTGGCGTTGCCACGTAGGTGGAATAACGCGCTTACACGGTAAGCAGAGGGGCCCTCTGTTCTGGTCTTATTGCATTGCACCGCATCGCACTGCATCGCACTCACTCGCACTTGCACCCTGATACCGGAACGATTTACACTTTCACATACACACCGTCTCAGTCGTCCCACACCCCCACACACCCTCACACCCACACCCCACATTCCAATCCCACACCCAAGCTCCCTCCCTCCCACACGTTTTCCGCACAACGGGTGCGAACAGAAAACGCATCTCGCCTTCCCCTCTCCTCCTGCGTCTCCCTTCCCTCTTCCCCCCAACCCACCCTCCCCCCATTCTCCTCCCTCCCCCTCCTCCTCCCTTCCCGTCTACTTCTGAACACCCTTCCAGCTTCTGCCGCACGGTCGGCACGGGGGACAAGAAAAATTTCGTGAATGGACCCGTGAAGACCATCTGGGCCTGATTTTTTCCCATCTCTTCTTCCATCCCGATCCCCCCTCACTCTTTCTCTCCCTCATCTTCCCCCATCCCCCTCTCTCCTCACAGTTTCTCCCGCACGGTGGGCACGGGGGACAAGATCAACTTTGTCAACGGACCCATGAAGACCATCTGGGCCTACTCCGACGGCCCTTCCGGCGACTTCAGTGCCGGCCATGCCGCCCAACGCGGAGTCGTCACAATCGACTACAAGTGTGACCCCAACGCTGTCCCCGCCCCCCCGCCCCCCGCCCCTTCCACTGCCAAACCCCCACCGCCTCCCCCCTCTTCCACCGCCAAGCCCCCGCCGCCTCCTCCTGCTTCCACCAAACCGTCCCCGCCTCCCCCGCCGTCCTCCACGCCCAAGCCCTCCCCGCCTCCGCCCGCGTCGTCGTCTCCCCCGGCTGCGGGCGCGGCGTGTGCGTCGTCGTCGCTTGCAGGGTACTCGTATCAAGTTGAGCTGAACGGACCGCTGTAAGTGATGTTGGTGCCGCTGTCAATGAGTGACTGTGCCTCTGCTGACGCAGTGAGTGATGGTGGTGCTAGTAGTGAACGTTGCAGTGAGTGATCATAACAGTGAGTGATCATAGCAGTGAGTGATCATAGCAGCGAGTTACTAGACCTTTCCCACCAAGAAGGAGGTCACTAGGAGCAGCACTCTTGCCTCAACCCTTCTATCCCCTGTTTCTCGTCTCCATGCCCTCACCTTCCTTTCCCCCTCTCAGCGTGCTCCTCCACTGGACCTTCGCAACCAAGAAGCGCATCAAATTTGCCATCGAGGCTCGCAAGGGCACCCTGACCAAAGACGGCTCAACCCTGTCTCTTTCTTGTCTCTTCCCCCCTCTCAGCGTGCTCCTCCATTGGACCTTCGCAACCAAGAAGCGCATCAGATTCGCCATCGAGGCCCACAAGGGCACCCTGACCATGGACGGCTCAACCCTTTCTCTTTCTTCCGTCTCGCCCCCTTCCTGTTTCCTTCCCCCCTCTCAGCGTGCTCCTCCACTGGACCTTTGCCACCAATAATCGCATCAGGTTCACAATACAGACTCGCAACCCCCATAACCCATCTCTCACCCTATTACCCATCCCTTCCTGCACCCCTGTTCCCCCTCTCAGCGTGCTCCTCCACTGGACCTTCGCAACCAAGAAGCGCATCCGATTCGCCATCGAGGCTCGCAAGGGCACCCTGACCAAAGATGGCTGGATGGCCGTTGGATGGTCGGGCAACAAGGGCAAGATGAAGGGCTCAGATGCGGTCATTGGGAACCTGCCTGGCGTGGTGGCAGTGCATATGAGTGGGTACAGTAAAGCGCTTGTAACGAGGACGAACGCGTTCGCTATCGGGACTCCATCGGTTGCTGCTACATCTGATGGCGGCACTACAATCATGTAAGGATGACCAGCGAGCTACCTTACTAGATAACTTTTGAGTCGACTCAAAAGTGGACTCCTTCGGTTGCTGCTACGTCTGAAGGCGGCACAACAATCATGTAAGGGCGATGGGAGGGCTACCTTACTTCCCCATGTGTTACCCTATGCATTTCACTTTTTCCCCATGTTTTACCCTATGCATTTCACTTTTTCCCCATGTTTTACCCTATGCATTTCACCTTTTTCCCATGTTTTACCCTATGCATTTCACTTTTTCCCCATGTTTTACCCTATGCATTTCACTTTTTCCCCATGTTTTACCCTATGCATTTCACTTTTTCCCCATGTTTTACCCTATGCATTTCACCTTTTCCCCATGTTTTACCCTATGCATCTCACCTTTTCCCCATGTTTTACCCTATGCATTTCACCTTTTCCCCATGTTTTACCCTATGCATCTCACCTTTTCCACATGTGGTACTCGATTTTCCCATGTGTGTGACCCTACTGTGTCGTCTGTTCTTTCTGAACTACTGCGCCAGTGTTCTGCGCTGTGTGTGATTTGTGAGAACGCTCACGAATCGCACACACGTGCTACATTATTCTATGCTGCTGTTGCTGTCACCAGCAACAAGCATGCGCTTGCGTTGTCTTGTCCAATTTCATGGGTCCACTGGTCATGAAAATAGAAGGCAGTAGAGGGTCGCTCTGACAAATTCCTTCTCCATATTTCTCAGTCCCTTCTTCTTGTCCTTCCCCACTCTCCCCCACACTTCCTCAAAATTCCTCGCACCCTCTCAGATTCCCCAAAGAGTGGGCACAGGGGCAGTACCAATCAAGCTCAATGCCACCAACTACCTCATCTATGCCTTCAGCAGCACCATGTGAAACCACTCACAAGCCACCACCACCACTCTTCCCTCTGCACTCTCCCCTCTCTTCCTCTTCCTCTCAGTTTCGCCAGGAAGGTGGGTACGGGGGCGGTACCAATCAAGCTCAACGCCACCAACTACCTCATCTGGGCCCTCAGCAGCACCGCCACCAAGACCCTCTCCTTTCACGGCAACCACCAGTAAGTAGGAATAGGCTAGGCAACTTTGTTACATTGTAACTAGGAACTTTACCCTGCGACCAGGAAGCAGGTTCTTTTCTTGTTACCACTAGATGCCTGGTTACCCTGTAACAAAAAATCCACCTTATTGCCCTCATACCACTTCGAACATACTGCTCTACATCATGTCTCGTCCCAACCTTCCACAATGCTGCAGGGTGAGTCTGAGAATGTTCAAGAACGCCCATACCACTTACAACATTCTGCTCTATCTACGTGCCTCTAACCAACTCTCCTTCCAATCTTCCAATGCCTGTACCCTCCTACCAGGGGCGGCCTTGCTGTTGAATTCTCATGCTACAAGAAGCCCTGTTACCTCTGGGGTGGCGGGCCTGACTACAATGATGACTCGGATTATGACAACCCGCCTCCCTCCGGTGGTGGTGGTGGTGGCGGGAATGGTGGTGATGGTGGTAGCGATGCATGTTATCAAACCAATCCCCCTCTTCTCCTGTACCTCTCCCACTCTCTCCTACCAGGGGCGGCCTTGCTGTTGACTTCTCATGCTACAAGAAGCCACGGCACCTCTGGGGTGGCGGGCCTGACTACAATGATGACTCGGATTATGACAACCCGCCTTTCTCTGGTGGTGGTGGTGACGATGATGACGATGATGGTGACAATCATGATAATCATCATAGCCATGATGGCCACGGTGACCACCATGATGACCACCATGATAACCATCATGACCATCATGATCACCATGACGACGGCGACCATCACGACCACAAGTCGAAGCATAGCGAGTCGTTGACCAGAAAGCCATTCGGTAGCAAATCAACCTCCCGCAACAGCGTCCCTATCACACATGGTTCTTCCAACCCGTTGGCTGGTGCTTCTTCAAGCAGCAAGCATGCCATGAACCATCTGTTTAAGCAGAAGCCATTGGGCCACCAACAACGTGTCGCTGGTCCTGTTGCTGGTGGTGCAACTGGTGCTACTGGTGCTAGTGGTGCTGCTGGTGCTAGTGCTTCTGGTGCTGGCACTGCCGGTGTTGCTGCTACCGGTGCTGGTGGTGCCACTGGTGGTACTGCTGGTGCTATTGGTGGTGCTGGTGTTGGTGATATTAATGGTGCTAGTGCTTCTGGTGCCGGTAGTGCTGGTGTTGGTGCTGGCAGTGCGGGTGCTGCTGCTGGTGGCACAACTGGTGCTATTGATGGTGTAGGTGCTACTGAAGCTGCTGCTGGTGGTGATGGCCCTTACGGTGCTGAAGCTGCTGTTGGTGGTGGTATTGCTGGTACCAATGATGCTGCTGGGGTTGGCATTGCTGGTGTTGGCCCTGCTGGTGCTGGTGGCTCTGCTGCTTTGGGTGCTGCTGCTGCGGGTGCCATTGCTTCCGATGCTGGTGCTGGTGCCACTATAGCACAAGGTTTAACAAATGCTGGCTTCTAGGCAGGAGGTAACTCTGCCCTTCGGAATGATTTTTTTGGAGGTGAAATGACATTGTATGTGCAATTGCTAGCCACGTGATGCTAGTAAAAACTCAATTCCAAAAGTTGCCATTATCATAAAAGAAAATCGTTGTACACTAACAAATGCCCTCTTTCACAACCAAAATCTCGAATCCTTCCTCCACATATCTCTTTGCCATAGATTCTGGTTCATTCTAGGTGGTTATTCATGTTTTTTTAGACAGTCAGTTCCAACAATTGCGGTTATTGTAATTTATATTGTAATCTGTGGTGGTCCTCAGTGCCAGTAAAGCGTACATCAATGTTGACGAACTCGATGGCGCTTCCATTTTTCCGAATCGCGTGTTGACCAGAGAGCTCGTGACATTGCCCTCCAGCTGGCAAAATGGGAGTCCATTCTCGTTTTGTATTCGAGTCTGAAAAACATGAGCTCGTGACATTTCTCTCCAGTACGGGAGAATGTTGGCTGTAGGACGGGTAGTGGTGGGGAGTCGGGGTGCAAGGTTGAAAATAGGCGAGTGGGGAGGGGGGTAGGGGTCGGGTTTGGAGGGAAGGGGAGTGGGAAGAATGGGGGTGTGGATGGAGGGGCTTGGTCGGGAAGTGGAAACACGGTTAGTGGCTCAAAAGTAACATTGAACTTGTGACGACCGAACTGACCCCAAAAATTATAGGGCAGTGAAACTCCGACCCGTAATGCATCGCTGACCAGAGGGCTCTGGTCCAACCTCTGGTCAAACACGAAATAGGTTTGACTAGCGCCCAGAATACACAAAAATCGACACCAGACCAGAAATTGATGAAATTGGTGAAGTCAACATTGTTACAGTGAGTGGAGAGTCTCGACTCCAAAATGCCGGGTAAAGGCCGGGTAGAATTGTGTTACACAATCTCAATCCACTGCGTCTGCACAGCGTCCAGAAGAAGAGCAGCACCCCAGCACCACTTCGATCTGGCTCAAATGTCGTTTTAGGGGCAGGAGGAGCAGCAATTTCAGCAGTTCACTCCAATCCGCTGAGCTGTGCGGACTGCGCTAGAGCTGTGTGCGGCTTGCTCTTCCGTCTCATCCCCTGGCGCTTCCACATCCATGGCTCATCAGCTCCTCGCTCTTCAGCTTGTACTGCTCGTTACAGTCACACACTACGCCGCCATTACCGCCACCACCGCCGCCGTCGCCGCGCCCGCACCTGCTCCGCCGCCGTCACCTGCTCCACCGCGCCCACCTGCTCCTCCGCCGCCACCGCACTCCATATGGAGTAATATTGCCTCGTTCTTTCGCCTTCCTAGTAGCTCCTTCGGAAATTTCTTCTTCAGTGGCGCGCAAAGCGTAATTGCGGGGCGCGGGAACTCGCGGCGCGGGGTAGCTGCGGGAACGTGCAGCGCGTCGAGCCGAAGCGGCTTCACGTCATCTAAAACGCTCGCGCCTGGGTAAAATAAATAAAATAAATCTATTGAGTCAAAAGGGAATTGCTGGGGGATTTTATTGGTGCTGTGAGGGGTGCAAAAAGCTCGTAAACACCAACACAAACTTCTGGCTATCCCCGTTGGTAGTACACTCTGTGTGAAGTACAGGACTCGGAACAGAACCCATGCACAATGTGAAGTATAACAGTATACAACATGTTTTTCTTTATAAAAAACATGTATTAATAACTTTCATTCATTGATGAAGTTTCGAAGCATGGTGTCTTTGAGAACTTCAGCTTCCTACATTATTTTTCCTACCAAGAAGTCTGCTTTTCTAAGTTGGAATAGGAAGCTCTGGACCGTTGCTGCTCACACAGATGTAAACTTAACTTGTGCACATGCTCATTTCCGCTTTTTCCCTGACACAGCAGGCTGATTATTCACTGTAATGCCACAAAACAGGCACGGAAACTCACATCCTCGCTGATCCACCATCCCTTACTCCTCTCCTTCCCTCCTTTCCGGGCCCCCTCCCCCCACCCTCTCCGTACGGCAGGCTGATTCTTCACTGGAAGGCCGTAAAAAGCACCGCAGCAGGCACCGTTGTGAACATGGCCCTGGAAGCCACGGCTACCGCTGTCTCCGGCGGGTGGTTTGGCATCGGCTGGCCGACGACAACCGGGATGTTCCCCGGAGATGCTGTGATTGCTAACAGCGCACTCTACGAGCCTATTGACGCCTACACTTTGGCGGGCGACACGCCGACCGCCATTATCCCGTTTGCTTCCGTCCCGCTGGGTTCGGCTAGCTACACTGGCGGCGTTGCCACGTACGTTTGTGTTTCCAGGCTGCTGTCACTCTGTTTTTAACAACTCAACACGTACGATTTTTCTTTCTCTCTCTCTCTCCTTCCTCTTCCTCCTTCCTCCTCCTCTTCCTCTTTCCTCCTCCTCTTCCTCTTCCTTTTCCTCATCCTCCTTCCTCTGCCTCTTCCTCTTCCTCTTTCTCTTCCTCTTCCTCTTTCTCTTCCTCATCCTCATCCTCTTCCTCTTCCTCTTCCTCCTTCTTCCTTCCTCCTTCCTCCTTCCTCCTTCCTCCTTCCTCCTTCCTCCTTCCTATTCCTCTTCCTTTCCCTCTTCCTCTTCCTCTTCTTCTTCCTCTTCCTCTTCTTCTTCCTCTCTCTCTTTTGCTTCCTCCTCCTCTTCCTCTTCCTCTTCCTCTTCCTCCATCCTCCTTCCTCCTTCCTCTTTCCTCCTTCCTCCTTCCTCCTTTCTCCTTCCTCCTTCCTCCTTCCTCCTTCCTCCTTCCTCCTTCCTCCTCCCTCTTCCTCTTCCTCTTCCTTTTCCTCTTCCTCTTCCTCGTCTTCTTCCTCTTCCTCTTTCTCTTCCTCTTCCTCTTCCTCTGCCTCTCTCCTCTAGCTCTCCCTCACCCTCTCCCATCTCCTTATTCCTCTCCCTCACGCTCCCCCATCTTCCTCTTCCTCTCGCTCACGCTCCCCCCTCTTCCTCTTCCTCTCCCTCACGCTCTCCCCTCTACTTCTTCCTCACTCTCTCCCCTCTTATTCTTCCTCACTTTCTCCCCTCCTATTTTTCCTCAAGCTCTCCCCTATTCTTCTTCCTCGCGCTCTCCCCTTCCCCCTCCTCCCCCACCCCCCACAACCCCCCTACAGATTCTCCCGCGAGGTGGGCACGGGCAACAAAATCAAGCTCGTGAACGGACCCATGAAGACCATCTGGTCCTGCCCTGATGTACCCTCCACTTCCTCCGTCTCACCACCACCCCCCATCCCCCCCATGCAGATTCTCCCGCACAGTGGGCACGGGAAACAAAATCAAGTTCGTGAACGGACCCATGAAGACCATCTGGGCCTACTCGGTCGGCCCTTCAGGCCTATTCGACAACGGCCATGCGGGCAACCGCGGCACCCTCACAATCGACTACTCCTGCGACCCAACCGCTGTCTCCAACCCCCCTCCGCCACCCCCGGCCTCCGCCAAACCGCCACCCCCTTCCAGCGCCAAACCCCCACCCCCTTCAAGCACCAAGCCCTCCCCGCCCCCACCTCGGGCCAGGCCTCCCCGCCTCCCCCACCATCTGGCACACCCAAGCCGTCCCCTCCTCCCCCCTCGTCTTTGCCCCCTGGAGGTGCTGCGTGCGCATCGTCGACACTTGCGGGGTATTCGTATCAAGTGGAGCTAAGCGGACCGCTGTAAGTGATGGTGTGATAGTATTAAGTGGGGCTGAATGGACCGCTGTGAGTGATTGTGTTTCTGTGAGTGATAAAGGTGGTGAGGAAAGCTGGTGTGATAGTATAAAGTGGGGCTGTATGGACCGCTGCGAGAGATGATATTGCCTCTGCTGACGCCATGCTGGTGATAGTAGTGAATGTGCTGGTGAGTGATATTGTTAGCTGATGTGATTGTAATGAATGGTGGTGTGGTGGGCTGTGATCGCTTTGGCTTCCCTGTTGCGCACTCTTGCATCAATCCGTCTCTATCCTGTTTCTCATCCCCATACCCTCACCTTCCTTCCCTCTCAGCGTGCTCCTCCACTGGACCGTTGCCACAACGAAGCGCATCAGATTGGCCTTTGAGGCGCACAGCACCAGCAGCGCAATTGCCTGAAATGTGCTCATTTCCCGTGCCCTCAACTTCCTTCCCTCTCAGCGTGCTCCTTCACTGAACCTTCGCCACCAAGAAGGAGGTCACAAGCAGCAGCTCCCTTGCCAACCCTTCTGTCTCCTGTTTCTATTTTCCATGCCCTCACATTCCCCCCTCTCAGCATGCTCCTCCACTGGACCTTTGCCACCAAGAAGCGCATCAGATTTGCCATCGAGGCTCGCAAGGGCACTCTAACCAAAGACGGCTGGATGGCCGTTGGATGGTCGGGCAGAAAGGGCAAGATGAAGGGCTCGGATGCGGTCATTGGGAACCTGCCTTGCGTGACTGCGGTGCACATGAGTGGGTACAGCAAGACGCTTGTAAAGAAAACGAGTTCATTTGCTATCGGGACTCCCACAGTCACTTCTACATCTGAAGGCGGCACA